TATATTTCAGATATATCTGCTATGTTGATAATTTTATGGCTGTTCCTTGAAAAAAGACCAAAAGAATTATCAACTTTCTTGAATTTTTTTGTTTGTGATGTAATTTCCTGTAGTTTATTCGGACTAATTTTGTATAATTACTGATTGTTTGCTTTCTTCATGTTAAGTAGTAACTTTCCATCATTGTAGTTTATTCGGACTAATTTTGTATAATTACTGATTGTTTGCTTTCTTCATGTTAAGTAGTAACTTTCCATCATTGGGTTGATGAAAATATGCATAATTTCATTTAAGTATGTCATGAATTCAATGTATTTTTATTTAAATCAGTCCAATAAAAAAAAAAAAAAAAAAATTAAATATACTTAAGAAATACGTATTGCTTTTAAATCACTTTGTTAATCAGTAACAGACAGATTAAATTTAAAAGTTAAAGTGTCAAAGATTGAAGAAAGTATATTATTTTGAACAATGACAAAACATTTCTTTTAAATCAGTGAGTCTTCTGATTATATCTGAAGCATAAATATTTTGTACTTTATCGACACACTGTTATTAAAGCATTGAATTTGTTAATTAAAAATTCATTATATTCTCACAAAATGGGAAATAAATATAAGAGACAGTTTCAAAATTTCTAGCTTTGAGGTCATGTGTTCACAGTGTACTAGTGGCTGTTCCTTTTTATGTAAATATTTCAAGGAACAGGCCTTTTTATGTGTCCATGTGTGAACTTTGAAAGTAGTGTCCATGATTTTTAGAAACAAATGTACACTGAACGACACTATATTTACTTTGTTTTTTGGAAAGATATGTAGAACATTACATCATTGTTTGTGTAAATTGTGGCCCGTGATCATGTTCATAGATTGAGATTCTCTAAGTTTGGCAAAGATTCTCTAAGTTTGAAACATGTCTGGTGCCTGTGTCAGCATCTTGTATTTCCTCATATATTCGTAGAAGGTTAGTTGTTAGTAAAGAGAATGTGTAGCCTAAGATGAATCTGGACAATTCTCTATCTTTAAACTCTCTCAAGATGAGGAGGAAATAATTAGACATGTACTGGGAAATAAAAAAAGATGATGAAGAGGAAGGGGGATGAAGACAACACACACAGAGCAAGAAATGGAAGCTAATAAAGGATTGCAGACTCTCATAAGATGCCCGAGAGATGTTTGCTTATGTCTGTACATGATGTTATGAAGCTTCATCATGTACACAGTCAATTTTTAAAACTACACTGACAATCTTATAAGCAAGCAGACATTGAAAGTTATAATGCCATCATACTAATAAATTCCTAATTTTCGTGTGATAATAAATATAGTAATTTTAAGATAATTTTATTTTATTTTTGGGAAGTGTTAAACCATATTATGTGTTTTAATTTTAAATAATCTGTATGATTTTCAATATTATTTATTTAATCTTGACCATTAGATCAAAAAATTACTGACAGAAAAAACTCTTATCTGGAATTGGCCCAGTCATGTTGCTGCTGGTTAAAAGGGATTCCTTTTTTTTTGACATACAGATTCATCATTATTTAACAATAGTGATAGTTCTTTTTATTTTACATTTTATTTTTTAAAACTTTTTTCTTAGTTCAGTGATTAGAAGGTTACGCACATTTATATATACACTGATGAGCCAAGACATTACGACCATCCTCACATTTTTCAGTGAACTCGTCTGGATGATGTGAAGGGCACTTGATTAAGTGGGAATAATATCTGACTGCTACTGATGAAAGAAAGGAATCATTCTTGCACTTACTTTTGTGAGTGATGGGAAAGGCTGCTGATCTAAGCGAATTTGAAAGAAGGCAGATTATAATGGCCCATAGACTCGGAATAAATATCTCCGAAGCTGCATGACTAGTAGGTTGTTCATAATCTGCTGTTGTTAGTATTTATGCAAAGTGGATAAATTATGGTGAAACCAGCAATAGATGCCAAGTTGTTGGACATCCATGCTTCATCAAAGAAAAAAGACGCTGAAGACTGTTCCGCGTAGTACAGCAGAATTGGTGTCAAACAGTTGCTCAGATGACATTAAAATACATTGTAGGTTCAAGTGCAAGTGTTTTGGAATATACAGTTTAGCAGACACTGTTGGATTCGTGACCACAGAGCAGACTTTCTACTTGTATGCCTTAGTTGACGAAGCATCATTGTCAACTACACCTACAGTGGGCCTGGGAACATCAACTAGACCATGGATAAATGGAAGATAATTGTTTGGTTGGATGAATTACTATTTCTCATTCATCATGTTAATGGTTGTGTCGGGGTATGCCGTCTTCCAGGCGAACAATTGCTCCTCCCAGTACAGCAGGTAATACACAGCAGGTGGTGGCGGTATTATGCTTTAGGGAACATTCTCATGGGCGCTCTGGAACCTTTAGTTGTGTTAGAACAGATCATAAAAGCTGCGAATTATCTGAATATAACTGCAGATCAATTGCACTCTTAGATGGCACTTGTCTTCCCAATTGGAAATGGAATCTTCTAGCAGGGTAATGCCCCATGTCACAAGGCTTAAATTGTGTTAGATGGGTTCGATTAGCATAAGGATGAATTTCAGTTAATGTCCTGGCCACCTAACTCTCTAGATCTTAACCAGGTAGAGCACATTTGAGATATCATGGAGCAGCAGCTCCGAGTTCAAACACCGCCATGTCAGAATATCTCGACTTTGCATGATCCTTGCTTAGACATTTGGTACAACCTGTCTCCAGTCACCTCGCAAGAACTTATGGAGGCGAGTGCCAAGGTGAGTTGCAGCTGTTTTGCAGAGCAAAGGTCATGCAATGCATTATTGAATAGCTGGTCATAATGATGTGGCTCTTTATTTTATAGTATATATACAGATACATACATACATGTACACGACAGTTCTATAGATGTTTAAATTCATTTGACTGCATTGTTTTTGTGCAGTGTTGTGATACTATTTGTTGTTTTATTTAGTTATTTGTTTACTTGGTGTTTTTAGCATAACAGTTTTAGGGTTTATTTTGTTTGTAGTGAAATTTGTGGCCACATATTTTGTATATAACTGTTTATTTCTTATAAGGAATGGTCTCTGTTCTAAGTCCAACAATGTTTAAATTATAAGAATACCCGGTGTAGAATGTGCGATATAAGCAAAGACACTCTTGATAAGCAGTGGCAAAATAATTTTGTGAGAAATCGGCAATGGTGACAATAAACATATTTGAAGCTCTGAGATTGATTTTTATGAATCTTCCAGAATCTCATGCTATACCATATATGTATGATTTCAAGTGCTAAGATGGGGTAACTGTTAATCATCTGTGATAGCTGAATTGCATTTTAAAATTTCCTCTGTGTGGATTTTATGATATTTCTTATTCTCTAAGCAGAAATTGCTTAATATCCAGCTTCTCTTTTGAGCTATTTACAGCTCCTTATTTTGCTAAGTGTCATTAAAATTTTATAATAAATTGTCAGTTTCTTCTTGCTTGTCTGGAATGATCATTTAAAGAGACATCAATAAACCATAGCTTACAGCAATATATACTGCTCATTTCATGTTCTTTGTTTTAAAACTCATTCACAATTTAATGTTATTCAAACAAATATCCATAATAATAATATTAGCTCAAAATGAAACTTATTTTTGAACTTTTGTCTTACCACCATTACCTTGTTTGATATTTTCCAATGTGATGGTATCTCAGATTTTGCTTACAAGTAATTATTTAGTTGTGAACTATAGAAAGCACGTGATGTATTAAAAAGCAGAGCAAATGATGTTTGTTAGATACATGATTTAAGATAAAATTTCCCAAAATTTCTTTTTAGAAACTAGAGCTTCATATCATGATTTTAATCAAAAATAAAAATCCTATTATCTCCCTCTTTTTTTAGGAAAAGTTAAATTCCCCCCTTCCCTACCTTGAAAACTCCTAAATTTTGATAATTAAATTTCAACAATTTGTTAAATTCAGTTAAATTCTAAACATTTAAAATATTATTATAACAAGAAAAGAATTCTTTTTATGATAATTAAAAAACAAACCTATCTTAAAAATGACATAAATGTGAATTAATGCAGAGAGAAAATATGAATTATGTTGTACCATATTTGGCAACATTTACTCTACTTATGATTTAAAAAATCATATATAGGTGGTTAAATGCATATGTCTGTATTCTAGCAAGTATCCAGATACGTTTTACAGTAATTTTTTTAATACTTAGCAATTATATATTCATCTCTAAAACTGTATTATGGAACAAACCAGTTTATTTAAAAAAAAGTTAAAAGTGCATTAACATTGTGATATATTTTATGCAGTTTTTCTAGCAGTTTGTGATTTAAAATGTAGCTATAAGATTTCTTTTAAATGATTTTTAGAACTCAGGCATTTAAGTGTTAAAATATATCTCGAATTTTATTCGGTTTGAATCTTCTGTCGTATAATGCGAGTTCTTTCATCTAGGCCCGTTTAGTACAGTTAGTTAGGATTGTGGAAAGTTTTTGACTTTCTTTTAGAAATATGTATTGTTAAGTGTCTTTGCTTTTTTTTGACATTCTATTATCATTATCTAATTATAATATTAATCATGTCAACAGCCTAGCAAAATGCCAGTTCTAAAAATTTCTGTTTTTCTTGCATTAAATCTTTATCTTCAAATTACAAAATCACACTGTATAACACCTCTTAAGAGTTTTATCTTTATTTTATTATGAATAATGTATATCTGTTTTAAATAATTTGTAAAGCATGCAATTGAAAATTTTTTTAACCAATTTGTCATTAGTTTATTTACAAAAGACCCTTTTTATGAACATTAAAAATTAATTAGAATGATTTGTAATAAATTATGTATTCAATTGCAGAAAGAGAGTTTACATGCCATCTCACAGCTTGTTTGATATATTTTATCGTATTTTAGTATATTTGTTTCATTTAATGTTCATAATTATAGTTAAAACATAATATTAATTGTTAATTATTATATTTATAGCTTACTAATTGCCTTTGTTGGAAGCAATGAGCCATACTGGAAAGGATTTTGTTATGCAGTTGCCATGTTTTTTGCAGCAATGCTTGAGTCATTTTTATCTGGACAATATGAATACAGAATATATATCGTTGCCATGCGCATTCGTTCTTGTATTACGTCTATTGTGTACAAAAAGGTAACTAGTATTACATATATTTTTATTGTGTGTTGTATAATGTGGAAGTGTAATTGTTAGAAGTAATTTCTTTAACAGATTATATCGACTTAAAAATATATAATGTATTTAAAATCATGGAAAGTTCAAATAAATTGTCACTGGTTTTATACAGTAACTATTGATTTCGAAGGAAAATGACATGTCTTTTTCCTTCGAGTATCAGAAATATTCTGTATTATTTGGTTGAAATTTGTTAGTTTAAATTATGAAATAATAATAACGGAAAGATAAGCAACAATTTTCATTAAACAAAGTAGAAAGAAATTTTAAAATTATGAGATAAGTTCATGTAACTCCAAAGGATAAATATGACTTGAATTAAAAGTATTCAGTAAAGTTGATATATCTTGATGGATTTTAATAGGCCAGCCATCTAAAATAATTATTATAGAAAAGAAAAATATGTAATGGTTTTAAAGAGTGTAATTTCACAGGTCCATCTAATAGCTAATAATAAGAGCTGAAAAAGTGTTTCTATTGCTTTTCTGTCACTTAGTTTGTTAATGAATAATAGATTAAAGTTCAAAGAAAAATAAAATATTTTACACTTCACCAAATGGCTGCAGGCTGATGCGGGGAATATAAAAATATTTTATTTGAGTTTTGGCAACATGTTTCTTTTAAATCGTGGAGTTTATGGGATCAAATTCGAAAGACAAATATCTTGTACTTTTACGAATGGCAACACATTTCTTTTAAATTGCTGAATAATTCAGAAGTTCTTGAAATTGTACAAAATATGATATAATTAAAAGAAATTGAAATTCAAAGTTCCAGCTTCGAAGTGCACGTTTGAATATTGAAATTTTGGTGGCTGTAGGTGTTGCCATTTTTCTACAATGCAAGGAATATGCAGATTCTTCATTATTTAATAATAAAGATAACATGAAAGTTTATAATTTGAAGTTAGTGATTTTATTTTCGGTTGTCACCGTTCAAGAAATCATATGCTCATTTAATGTGTAAATGTTTAATTTTACTCAGTAAATGATACCACAAGCTCCTAGCAGTGGTAGTTGTGGTAACAACAGGAAAGTTTAGAAATACTTAACTCTGAAAATAAGAGACTGCTTTTCTGTCTGTTCAAGCACATAAAGCTTTTCTGTTGTTGTTATTGCTCTCTACAAAAACGTTATGTAAACAGCACATTGGAGGTTCACTTACTCTAGAAAAAGTCCCACAGGGTAGTCTTTTAGTGCCCTTTTTGTTCATCATTTTCATGAATGACTTACCAAAATCACCCAGTGTCACTCTAGCACTTTATGCAGATGACATGGCCATCCTCTGCAAGCACAAACAATTGGATAAACTGGTTCACAACATTCAGGTTTATCTCTCAAGCCTTGAGCAATGGCTCATTACTTGGAAAATCAAAATTAATGTCGTTAAATGTGTTTCCATGATATTCACATGCTTCCGACTCCCATACCCTTCCATTAATTTAAAATTCTTTGATATGACTATATTCCCTGGTCAAACTCATATAAGTATCCAGGAGTGATACTTGATTCAAAACTACTCTGGCATTTTCATGTTGAGGATACTCTCAGTAAAGCAAAGAGCGTCAGATCCCAACTTTATCCCCTATAAGCCCGAAAGAGCCATCTGTTTATCAGAAACAAAGCTCTTCTGTATACTTCAGTTATTCAACAATTTTTATGTTTGCATTTACCATTTGGGGTACCGATGCAAAGACTCGCATAAAAAAATTGCAAGCCATTCAAAGTAATACCTTATGGTTAGTCCTTAGTGCAGCGTGGTGTGTTCGTACTGATATGAATTACTCAGACCTTAACATTAAACCAATTGATATTGTTATTAAAAAACTTAGTCAAAATTTGTTGAACTGATTGATAACCGAGCACTTCAACAGCTTCCTGTCTATGACCCTGGTATTGCAAGTTCACAAAAACGACTAAGAACCGTCATGGGTCGAGACTACGGCATCTATCCTCCTGCTAAAAGGCATAGACACGATCCTGCTTCGTCAGTTCCAGCCTCCGCGACGTGAAGGACTTACTCTCTATCTTCTAAAATTGCTATTCATCACTGACTATACCAAACTGCTATCTTCTACTCAAGTTCAACTGAAAAGTGGCCTTCTTTGCACTGTTATCAATCCGTTCGTTTAAAAATCACATCATGCTTGCAAAATTAATTTCTGCTTTGGATATTTCCTCGTGTTTTCACAAACTTTACTACATTCTGATTTAACATCATATGCCAATGAGCCTCTTAATTTCTGAAACCTTTCCTCTCCACTTTTTGCTTTTGTGTTTTATCTATGTCATAAAAATGTAAAATTTTAAAAAGAATTAAAAATAAAAATACAAAAGATATATAAACCAAAAAAAATTTTTTTTAAATCAAAACTTTTGACTTAATAAATTTTTTTCCTATACCTAAATTAATAAATTTTTTTCCTATACCTAAACTCTTTCGAGCTAATGTGGCTCCCTCTAGTTTGCGTCGTACTAACTATTTATGTAATTTTCCTATTTCTGCTCACTACTTAGATATTTTTATGATGTGGAGGTACATGATTTAGAACCATAGGCACTCCGAAATATTTAATCATTGGCATCATTCTAGAAACCTTTGTGGTGAAATCCCTGAGGAAATCTACCTTGCATTTACATTTCATATTAGAAAGAACCACAAAAACTCTGTACTAGTCACCTGTATAATTGCTGGAACTGAATTAAAAAATGAATTACAACTCTTGTTATTTAGAAAAAACTTCAAAGTATCTGAAATTGTGTTTCCCTGAAAATAAGACTTAATCAAAAGCCCTAGCATGATTTTTCAGGGTACTCCTGATATAAGCTTTACCCTTGAAATAAGCCCTAATTAAGATCATCAGCTAAATAGGTGCATTATTGCAGAATGACAAAGTGCAGATGCAACACACATGCTTATTTGAAACAAACAGATGTGGTTACAACAAATTAGAATCTTCAGTATTCAATATATTTAGTAATGAATGTTTTGCTTTTGATTTAATAATAAATTTGAAGGATAAGAAGTTTTGATTCTCAGATAAAATGAGTACAAAAAGAAACAACTATTCCATCGAGTACAAGAAAGGAGTTGTGAAGACCCCAGGGATAAAAATCGTACAGCTTTTTGCAAAGAGAAGAATTTGGACCTACAGATGGTCTAAAAATGGTGATCAGACTACAGTAACCTCAATGAACAGGTTAGCAAGGGAAATGCCAAGAAGCGTAAGTGTGGATCAGGTCAGCAACCATTATTTCCTGAATTGGAACATATCTGCGAATGGATTGCTGACAGAAGACCAAAATTCTTTGGGTGTTCGCAGGGCTGATATTCAAACATTTGCCCTTGTAATGGCACCACAGTTAGACATATTGCCAGACGAATTCAAAGCATCACAACACTGGGTGGATGGCATCCGTTATCAATGCGTGCGAACTGTCTCTAAGATTGACAACACTGTTCAAATTGTAAGATACTAAAGGGATTAATAGTGCACTTGCATTTTCAAGTGTTTCATTGATGGTGTCGACTTCTGTAAGCACTAACTCTCGAACATGATTACTATGGATGAAACTGCAGTGTTTATGGGTCAAGCATCTCAAGCTACTATTGATGAGGGGTGATTCTGCAGTACATATTCCCTCCCCCCTCACTCACTGGTTACAAAAGTGCATGCATTGCATGTAGTTTGGCAATTCATCTCGATAGAAGAACCTCCCTCCTTCTAATCATCTCTAAGGGCAAGAAAGAGGAAATCGAATGGGTTTCAGGTATTTATGTTCTTGAGACTGAAAGAGCTAGGTGCACACAAGCAGCAATAAGAAAGTGGGTCAATTTATTTTTACCACTTGTTTTGCAAGGTGATCCAAGAGATATCCTGTATATGATTCTGCTAGTACTTACAGTGCTAAAGCAATGAAGAACTTCCTTGCAGAAAGAAGAATTCATTAAATAATAATTCCTGCAGGAATTAGTTTATATGTCCAAACTCTTGATGTTGCAATAAATAACTAATTTAAAGGCCATTTGCTCATTTGCACATTGCCCATTTCAATGACTACATTGAACATAGAGAAAACAATGAGCTAACTTTGTGAAGAATGAACGAACTTTGCATGGGTAAAAAATGTATGGTATAAGATAATGGACAGCTATGTTGCCAATGCTTTATGCCGATGTTTCAGAAGACGATGACATGACTGTATTAGAATACATGATTTTGTTAATTTTTTAATTTTCTTCAACATGAATAAATATATTTCTTAAACACAAAGGAATGTATTTTTGAATATGAATAAATGTTATATGTTAATTACTGTACATGAAAAATAAAACATTCCCTGAAAATAAACTGTAGCATGTCTTTTGCAGCAAAAATTATTATGGCTTATATTATTATATTATGGGTTATATCAGGGAAATATGGTAGTTGCACAATTGTTATAATGATTTTGTTATTATCACAGTATTAAATGGTAGAAAGAGGATGTTAAACTGTATGTGCCTAATAAACAATTATTAGATAGAAATGTAATACACCGCATTATTTTGTAGCAATAACTGAAAGCTAAGGAATTATCTTTTTTAACCAATAGCTAGAAAACAGAATCACTTATTCTTTTCACTGCATTAGTGCCAATTAGAAAAATAACTACACTTCATATATGATTCTTTATTTGGTAGTAGCTACTTAAAATTATTCATTATGGACGTGCAAAAGTTTGCCAAAGGGAAAACACAATTACCATAAGCATCTTAACATTCCTTGAAAGTTCTGAAATACAGACACAATGCACAGAAGATTATGAAGATATGTTGCTATCTTGTCTAATCCACATAATACTATTATTATCAGATCTTGAATAAGCAAATATCAGTGAAGTGATCATTTTGTTGAAATCTCACCAATTATTTTTACACGAAAGAAATCTCTTTAGCCTAACATCTCAGACATTGGCACATGGCAAAAGAAATGCAAAATGTGTCAATTGCAGAGCACATCAATTCTTATGGAAATAATATTTCTTTACTTTGAGATGAAAGTACTCAAAATTAATTATGCTCATCGTTTCCTGAAGCCAGTTACTACGTCATTCTTCGATTAAAAATGACAAACCTGAAAAAAATCTCGATACAGGATTAAACACAGGAATGAGGCTGAAGCCTCGTCACCATTCCGAAAAGAGGGGGAAAACTGGTTAGATGAGAATTTAGCGTTCGCAGTAATGTAATTTTGAAGTTTAAACAAATGTGTTTTTTTTATTATCAGTTCTTAACATTTTGATATAGTATATTATTTATATATATTAATTTTGATATATGCAAGGAAGATGGTTTGTTAGGAAAAGAGACATTGAGAAGTACATTAAATATCTTCTTAACTTGTTTAACTATTCTGGATCTTAATTTTATATTTTTAATAAAAAGAAAATGCTTTCATTTTATGTATTTCTGTATTTTTGTAGTATGTTCAATATATAAAGATGTACTAATTCAGAAGTCAAACAACAAAAATCAGCGTTAATTTACAAAATTTTGTAATTAACGCTGATTTTTGTTGTTTGACTTCTGAATTAGTATTTATTCGGCATGTTATTGTGTCTTAATTATATAAAGATGTGTTAATTATATTTTAGGCCCTTGTATTGTCAAATGCAGCTAAGAAGAACTATACAGTAGGAGAAATAGTCAACTTAATGTCTGTGGATACCCAAAGAGTGATGGATTATGTTCAGATGGTCAATCTCCTATGGTCAGCCCCTCTTCAGATTGCTATAGCAATATATCTTCTTTGGCAACAATTAGGTATTGCTACTCTTGGTGGATTAGCTGTCATGATTTTGATGATACCTCTGAATGGAGTCATTAGTGTATTTATCAGAAATTATCAGGTAATTGAAGCTATTTTTAAATATTTCTGTCACTGACTGTAATCAATTTTTATGTTAGAAATTTTCATATGAAGTGCAGTGATGATTTGAATTTATAACATATCTTTGTTAACTTTCATGCTAAAGAAAAATCAGCTTGGTAAGCGTGTTGTACCAGTAACCTTTTTTGTTCAATTTTCATAGCCATTCCTTAAAAATTTCAAAACGGACAAACTGCAGCTTAGGAATAGGAATGTACAATAATAGCCAAAATTGTAGGCAATTTAAAAAATTTATATGTTTTGCATATCTTGCAGTTGTGGTTCCCAAAATCTGGGTCATGACTAAACAGTGGATTATAAGACATTTTTGGTAGATTAGAAAAAGTGTTTTTTATTTATTTATTTATTTATTTTCTTTTTGGTTTTCCGTATAAAAATTTATATATTTATTTATAATCTTAAATTAATTTGTATATGTTAATTGTTAATAATTATGTGTATTTATGAATTATTTTCATTTAAGTGGGTTCTTTCTTTTAAATTATTTCATTGGTTCTTTCTTTTGCGCTCAAGCAGTGTTTCAGTGGATTAGACCACTGAGCACTGGCGGTTTAGTCCAAATTCAGATCTCCATGAGCTGGCTTTTACATGGGCATTTTTGTACTTTCCTCCATGTATAATGTGAAAGTTACCCTATTGCCGTCAGAAAGTCTCCCAAAAGGCATTCTTTCCCTTAGGCAGATAGCTTTGCTGTGGTTTGTCATGATCAGTTAATCCAGTCCAATCCAATTTTTTTCTCCCACATTTTTTCAGTGCAATTTTATCTATGTGATTTGTGAAAAATGTCAGCCTTATTCATGAGGGTTGTATAGCTAAAAAGCATGAGAAATGGTGTTTAAATGTTACTTCATTAAATTTTTGTATATTATTTCAAAATTCAATCCTGATTTCAGTAGAAAGAGACTTCAGATATCTGTAGCATAGAGCTTAATGCTTTGTTTAGTATAAAAATCACACAGGTCTGAATGAAAAAAAGAAGCTCAATCAGATCTTATTCTTGAGATCAGTGAAATGACAGTAGCTGTAATTTGTGTGCTTCATGTTATTTTTGCAGCCTATTTTGTAGAAAAAGACAGTTATAATGTATCAGAAAATTAAACGAATCTGTGCTTATTATTTAATCTTATTTAAAATATACATAGTACTAATCTTTTTACTGGTTTCACAAAGAATAAGGTTTGGCCAACTGCAACTACAAGTAAGATGTAGCAGAACAAGAAGATAGTACATGAGTCTAGTATTTTCTATGATTAATGTTCCAAGCAAGCAGATGTATAGTATAAAAATCAAAATTATTAGAAAGCAAAGTATGAAAGTACAAAAAATGAGCACAAAAACTTTTGAGGACATTAGATTGAAAAGTCAATCTTAGGTGCTAAATCTACGAGATCCTTAATGAAGTAATCTGGTGTAAACAGTTCAATCTTCTCCTCATTTAAAAACAATAAGAAAATTGTATTAAAGATATTGTGTTAAAAGCAAGGATTACTTCTTTGTGTGTGGGGGGAGGGAGAGATTTTAGATCTATAGCATCACAATGGAACAATTTCAAAGACGTAGACAAACCAAGATCGTAGAAAACAATTTCAATGGTTAAAAGATCCTTTAAATGATCAGGAGATGAACTAATGCAAATTAATTTTAACTTCTTAGAATCTACAGAAATATCAGTCACATGCATTTTACTTTTGAGAACTATTTTAATTTAAAATTAAGAATGATTTAATTAAAAATATAAGTTGCATTTAACTTTGTTGTTATCTTGAAATTAACATTTATCTTTTGTGTATTTATATGCTTTTTTATTATAAGAATTAAATAATACCAGCATTATATTTTCTTGCTGTAACAAATGAGAAGGCTTATTTTTATTTCTTTTTGTTTTTAATATATTGTTTATAAGCATCTTTGCATTCGTAGCAGTGTTTAGGTTCTTTTGCTTCAGTTTTTGTAAAAAGTTTTCCTCTGCCCCATACCTTGGTTCTCATTTCAAAGTAAATATTGTTCTGAAGTTCAAGCATATATGTCCACTCTGGAAGTGGTGAGTATAGGAAAGTTTTTTGAAAGCTCTCTATTGTCAGCAAAGATAATAACTGGGACAACTATCTTTCTTAAGGTCAGTTGTTAGGTTTGAATAACAAGCAGTTCTTAGAAGTTACTATGATACTTTACAAAACAGAATTTTTCATTGCAAAATTAGTTAGTTTGTAAAGACATAAGGTCTTCTGTATGAGCAAGAATCTTGAAAATCAAGTGCATGTTCTCCAGAAACTTATTAAGGCTGTTGCTTGGACATGCTGACTATTAGAAGATGTAGAAACATGAATTTATATTCAGTGGTTTAAACCTTTAAAAAGTCTGTTCTTATTTTTTTATTATCATATTGATGATACTTTCTTCTATATCAGTCCAATTCTTTAAAGTTAAAAACATACAAGTAAATTTTTCTGCCTGTTCGGTATTCTCTTTTTAAGACTGTTTTCATAAATTCATAGATCTGGCCAGGATTCTTGGCTCATAAATTGGAACTGCTGTATAAAAATCCTTGACATATTTCAGTCCTGAGCACAACCCTGGACAGTCCGGGCAAATTCCCGACATTTAGCAACCGTCTGTAAACCTCTGGTAGCATCCAAAGAAATTAAATAGGTTTTCTATTCAGTTTCATAAAAAACTCAAATTTGCTAATTACTTTACCTTTATTTTTGTTGTTGTCATGACTAATCTTGCTTTTCTGATATCAGAGCAAGCTCACGAAGTTCATTGTGGCAAGGAGGCAAGATTTTGCTTGTCAATGGCAAGAGCCGTAGGTCACCATACAGGTGACAATATGACTTTGCTTAGTTCTACCTCCAATTTTGATAGAGAGCACCCTGCTTCCTTAACAGCGACTTTTCGAAAAGACTTTCAGCTTACCACATACTTAAAAGTACCACCATTCCGCACACTATACAGTTACAAACATTCATGCCTTCTCCAGGATTCAAACTTGAGCCCTTTGGTAAAGCAGTCAGTCACTAACTGCTGACCCGGTGGGGTGACACTTTTATTATTGTATTTTTTATTAGATACATTTCTTTGTTTATTTTTACATGTAAGTTTAACAAATTACATGTATGATGTAGCATGATTTTAATCTGGACCTTGTTTGTATTCCATCAGTGGCTGCATTTGATGAAGCCACAAAATACTGTCAGTTTTGTCGTAGATTCAGTTCCGGATTGCTCTGGTATTTTCATATTTTTCCTTATGTGTTATTTAATTTATAGCAGTTTATACTTGTTTCTGGCATAAGTATTTCACTCTCAATTCTGTTGTAGACTCAATTTCTGATATAGGCATTTTCCATTTAATAGTTTTTGTTTAAAATTTAATTCTGGAAATAATATTGTTACGTTATGTTACGTTATTGTGATTCTGTACCCCTGACATCAGGCACACACAGCCAGTGAACAATTGCATATGTTATGTGTAAACATAAAGTGGCATGTCAGCAGTTTTCGTTTAAGCAACTGTGGCTATCATGTAGAAAAATTGCAATTTATCTGGCATTAAAATAGACGTGATAATTTGTTGTAGAGCCAAGAGAAATGGTGGAGTTTTTGAACTGTTCAATGGCTAGTTTAGTAAAGTGTACCATGAGTTGATGAAGGGAACCATTTTTGCGATTTCATGTGGTAACTATGGAGGATTACGAACTGTCATTCCCTGAGGTAAATACTGTTTTGGCAGTTTGGTTTAGACCAGTGATTCTCAACCAGTGGTACGTATACCACTGGCAGTATGCAAAAGAAAAATAGGTGGTGCACAAACAAGCAAAGTACTTTTAATTGTTAAATTAAAAAATGAAATACCCCAACATCCTGTTTAAGTTTTTTCTCTAACACTCATAAAATTTATGCGATCTGAGCTTTGTTTAAGGTCAGTAGTCGATCATAGACTTTAGCAAAGTAATCCGTTTTTATTTTGACAAATATTCAAATTTTAATTAAATATTGTTTTGTTGTGAATTGCTCAAAACTTCTGAACTTTGCACAGAAGTACCGACATCAGACTTGCACCATCTGGTAAAAGGTTACCTTCTACAATGCGCCATACTTTGAGTTCTTTGAATTCCTGTAAGCAGATGGATGTCAGGCATAAACAGAGCCAGATTTAGACTTGATAAAGGCCCTAAGCTATTTGAGATAGGGGGCCTTTATAAGTCTGTTATAATATATTTTAATACTATTTATACTGTATTTTAATTTTTTGGGGGCCCTAAGCTATAGCTTGTGTAGCTTCTACGTAAATCTGGCCCTGGGCATAAAACTTCCAAGCGCAAACACCAAGCAACCAGTGTTGGATATATACAAGTTGGTAGCAGTATGATCCTTTTATAGCTTTAGAAGGCACTTGCAATTAGTACTTTTCATCCTTAATGATCAAATACACTCTTACATGTTAATGGTCTTTCCTGTGGGTAGAAGGATATTTAGTTGGAACAGTGCAATGTGTCATACTATCAGAATCATTTGTGAATGGTTCAAAGAGCATGACAAAGACTTATGCTTACTTCCCTGGCATTTGAATTATTTAGAGCTTAACCCAGTTTAACATATTTGGGAATACCTTTATCAACATGTTTGCGAACCGAATTCTCCACTATGCACTCATAAGCAGCTATCACATGCACTGCAGTTTGCTTGGTCCAGGGTCCAGATACCTTTAACAATCATCTTACTGAATTTCTTCAGTGATATTTAGTGGATATCCTTGTTTATCAGCAACAGTTATTCTGGATAACAGCGGGTGGACATAATAATATGGCTTCTCTGTGTAAACTATTAAAATTTACTTCTCCCCCCTCCTCCTGAATGGATTATCAAGCCTGAATTAAGTAGTACCTTCGTTCCTCACATATTCCCCCTAGCTTTTTAACATCAGGTTTTGAAAATATTTAAAATATTTGTGTAATTT